CCAGTTGTCCAAGACTTCGAAGATGTTGTTGAAATCTTCGTCCTCATCATTAAAAAAGCTCATTAAATCTAAATCAGGAGAAGGAATAGAGGAAAGGCCTTGGACAGAGGAGGTAGCGCCCCCATGAGTGGAGGGAGAAGTAGCAAAAGGCCTCGGAGATTCAGTAGAACCTGTGCAAAGAAGGAAATATATAAGTCTCTAGGAACAATTCACTATACCAAAGAGTGAAGTCGAGAGAAATATACCCTTGCGTGGACTCAAGGGAGGTTGTAACTCGAAAGAGGGTTCACCTTGAGCAGAGTCAGGCTGAGGTTCGACAATGGTTAAAGGCTCTGGTCGAGGAGCTTCGTTCTCCCTAACAGTAAGAGTTTTGCCCTCCTCAGCATTAGAGGGCATTTCAATCGAAGCCACCACTGAGGCTAGTGCCGCGATATCCACTAGAGGAGTGGACAACTGATACGATCGAAAAGTGAAAGTTAGAAGAATGAAAAGAAGTAACAAAAGAAAATACAAGGTGTTGTAAGACTAACCTGTTGGGTCACCTCAGTGGGTAAGGGTACACTCGTAGGTATCTCTCGAGACACCTCTTGGGAGGAATCCAATGGGATAATCTCGATATCCTAGTAAGCGAAGGGACATTAAAGTCATGAGAGAAATGATAATATAAAAATGAAATGACTGAGTAAGAGAATGCGTTACCCTTGGTACAGACTTCATCGCATCTTGAAGCAACTTTTCACCAGCGGGTTGTTGCTTAGGTTTTTTGGGGATAGGAAATACCATTTTCCCTTTTCCCTTGTCAAGAGTTTTTGTGGTCGAAGCCTACAAAAGAAGATAATTGATTAAGTTGAGGAAGAAACAAATAATCTTGGTATGCGAGTTGCTTTACGTACAGTCTTGGTGCTGTCGGAGCCCACTTTCTGTTTTTTCGAGGTCTCAAGACTCTGTAAAAGGAAAAATGAAAGCAACATAAGTGAAAGGACGTTACAAAGGGTGTCGAAGAAATAAGATTGCCATACCTTAGAACGAAGAGAGACCTTCTCAACAATGGTCTTTCTTTTTCGACCTTTCCTTGGGACCTCGTCGTCCTCATCCTCACTCTCCCAGTCGGGAGTTGGATCAGGATGTTGCGGGACACGTTGGGGAATAGCAGCTGTAGAATTCAAAACGAAAGATGAGGTTGGTTTAAGTCAAACTCGAAGAAAAAGCAGACGAAGAGACATTTACCAGGAGGGGGGTTAATGTTATCGACCCAACACAATGGCCACCATTTGTTTCGAGGAAAATCGTACACGGAACATCTCGCATAGGTAACTTTGTCCTTTACAGGAGTAGGATGTGCTTTGCGCTCAAGGTAAAATGGGTCGAGTGTTTTTACCCAAGAAGGGCGAGATAAATGTTTAACAAGACCAAAAAGAGCATTTGGAAGAGGAGGTATATGTTTTGGACAAAACTTTTCGAAATCAGTTTTACCTCGAGGATTTATTACCTTTTTCGAGCGGATGTTCCGTTGTACCATTTTCGATAGGGATACCGAGGCGTCGAAGACGGTTCGATGCACATTATCGGGTCGATAACAAACCTTAAAAAACTGCTCAAATTGATAAATTATAAGTTGATTCTTGAAGGTACCTGGTTGTTTGGGTCCCTGCGAAGAAGAGAGAGGAGATTTGATCAGCTTCCTCAAAAATAAGTTGAATGAGATAATCTTATCGGCATAATATTGACACCACCATCGAAGGTAGCATCGAGAGACTAGGAAAGAAGGTGTGAATTGGCTTGGAGTAAGAGTTAGTTTCTTTTCGGGTCGAAGAATGAATGCTAAGACTTCCTCGTAATTCCCAGTCTCAGCGCAGATGTCAGCGTCAATACCTTCCTTTCGACGAAGAGGAAGGGGTTTCATCTGGCACAATCCGAATTGTCGAGCGAAGAGCTGAGGGTGATAAGGATAGACTCGAACATCCTTTTGCTTCATCCCAGAAAAAAGTAAGTCCCAGGACAGAAAGCCAAACCAAGTTTCTAACATATCAGAAGTAATATTCCCCACTTGGTTGTTCTGTCGAAGCCAAGAAGGGCCTATCAAGGTGGGTCGAATGAAAGGAGCCAAGTCTTCACTGAACTCCGTAAAATCAAGAATGGCCTTCACATAAAGACCAAAGTTGTCAACAGATCGTTTTCGAGGGGTCAGAGTGGTCAGTCGAGCCCCTTCAAGTTCGCAAGAAGAATTAAAAGATGAAGATAGAGAAAGCTTTTCTTCAAAAATGGCATTGAGCCACAGCTGGAGTAACCAAAGTGGACCAGAAAGGTTGCGAGGACCGGATTCACGAGATAAACTTTCCGAGGCTTCATCAAGACAGGTGTAGAGTGAAGCCAATAGCAGTTTACTCAAGCAAATTTTCTTCTTCGAGTGTAAGGCTTGAGCAAGAGGATAATAGTATTTAGGTACTTGGAGAGAAGGTGTACAGAAAACGCAAGCAGATAGCCAATATAATAAAAAAGCAATATGTTCAGAAGCTGAAACAGGGGTTCCTGGCTGTCCCATATGAGCGTTTATAAAAGCCAAGTAAGTTCTCTTATCCCAAGAGATCGAAAAGTCTTTGATCGAAAGCTCATCATCAAAAACGTCAGGGTAAAACCTATCTCCTAGGGGGGACAAACCGGTGATAGCGGCAATATCTAATAGAGTGGGGCCAACAAATCCACAAGGAAACTCGAAGGCTCTTGTCTCCCTGTTCCAGAAGAAAATTGCGGAAAGCAACATTTGAGGGTCGAAGAGATGTAGATCAAACTTTGCGAGTTGAATAAACTCTGAAATTCCCGTCTCGACCCAAGATGAACGCATAGCCTCTTCCACACGTAGCAACCATTGGAGATGTCTATCTTTGGTGGGAGGGAAAGCTCTGAATATCTTAGTAGTATCCTTAAACAAAGAGAGGTCTATGGAAGGAGAATGGATAAAGGGAATGGTAGAGGAGTCTTCAGGGAGCAAAGTGTTACCAAACTTCTTTTTATTCTGACCTAAAAAGGGTCCTAAGAAAGCATGAACATTACCATCCTCAAGAGAGAAAGGAAGCAGTACCTGAGAATTGAAGATCTTGAGACTGGCCTCTTCCATGCCAGGGATAGGGACGAAAGTTTCAGTGCCTCCCGGAATAGTGTGTACCCGAGCATTAGCCATTAATAAATTTGACTGAGGCTGAGTGGAAGTGGCAGTAGCCACGGTGGTGACCGCGGTGGTGGCCATAGTTGTAGATACAACTGGAGAAGAAGCAGCCCCAGTAGTGGCGGGAGACATTTTTGAAGTTGCAGGAGCCGGAGTTGAAGCAGCAGATGAAGCCATAGTAATAGCAGAAGCGTAGTAGCAAAGAGGTCACCGAAGAAGAAGGAAGTATGGGCTTGAGGACACCGGAAAGAGAGGAGGAAGCTTGAGCGTGAAGAAAAGCAAAAGTGGAGGCAAGTATCAGAGGAAGAAAGTGAAAATGTGAAAGAGAGATGGTGAAAAGGCGAAAAGTTAACCCTAGGGTAATAAGGTATTGGGCCTTGGGTAACGTGGGCTTTTGAGTGAATTCAAAATTAAATGATTACAACGGCCGCCAAAAAACGCTTGGGTAACGGAGAAAAACGGAAACACGCGCCTTACTTGCCATCAACACGTCACATCAATATCTTCTCAACGGTCAGAAGCATTAAATAGGAGATAATAGGGTTTCATCGAATCCTAAGACCAAATGGAGTTAACCAATAGAAATAGGAATTCGAATCTATTAAAGCAATGTTAAAGATCGAATTCCTAGGGGGGCATTTGTTATGACCACTCGAAATGTTGATCACTCGAAAATTGCTTGAATCAACAAGGGCATTACCTCACCACGCAAAAGGGAGACAGGGTCGAATTCAGAGGAAATTCGAGAATCGAAAGGCCGAGTTAGAAGCAGGATCTTATATACAAGACAGGGTCGAACATGATGCACTCGAAAAAGTCGATAAAAGAGGAAGGTTCAGTCAGAAACGGTTATCAAACGAAAGCGGTTATCAAAATTAAAAATAAAGACACGTGGAGAGAGTGGTTTAAGGAGGTTATTCTTCTGAAACGCGTAATGGGAATAGTGGGCAACGGTTACGGATTGAAAGTCTACGTATATAAAATAACCACCCATTATGTTTCTATAAATACAAGACCTACAGACCTTTGTGAGGGTCGGAAAAACGCATACTTGAATAGAGCTCTGGAGCACTCTCTGCCTGCGCATATGGCTTTCGTGCATGGAATCGTGTTTGGGTATGACTGACCTTCGACCATTTTTCTTTTCCATTCTAGGATTAGGAGTAGTATTAGCTTTTCATTGTTATTGTAATCTGTTCTTGATAATCTGTTCTTGTAGTTTAATGTATGAATGTATGAACCATGATTTGTATTGAAGAAATATATATTGTTCATTCCATTCACATTATCGTTTGCGTGCATGAACATGGCTTGTTAGTGTTAATTGAAGAACATTTGGAAACAAGTAATCACTAAAATCTTCCTTAATCTTCGTTCTCGATAGTGTTAAAACAGTAGCAGTGTTACACCTAAATTGAAATACGACGTATGCTGGTCTAAATAAAAAGAATTCACGAGACGAATTCCACCGTAAACAATGATCTATTTTTATTTAAAAAGAAAACAATTGATCTCTTTCATATTTTTCTAAAATGTTACTTCCGAACATATTTTAAATCCTTTGATTTATGATTGAAGATTTTAAATTTTAACAAACGATATTTTGCTCGCCCTTAAGAAAACGAAACTGAAAGTAGAATTTTTTTTTTATTATTATAATTATGTTATAGATGGAAAGTATCTTCAAATTTTATAAATAATTAATTTCTACCGAAAAATTTAACCAACTATTTTTTAGTGAAATATCTGTTAATCGCGTTTATTTATTTAAAAATTCATTACACATATATATCATTACTCTTTTATAATATGCAATAATATTCTCATGTCTCTACAGCTAAGAAAAAATTTGGAGTTCGAAAACAAGAGAAGGAGGCAGATGAAACTTGTGCAGGGTCAATCGAAGTTGATCCACATACTCCCCCTAATCATAATCAGCTAAGAAATGAGACTCAGTTACAAACACCACTATCCACCTTAACCAATGCTACCATATCCCACTTTGATTCACCGGGTATATAATATGCCTCCATCCAATAATCAAGTTCAGAATCAATTTTTGGCACTGATTTTAAAAATTAGCAAACTTAATTACTTGACATACATTGTGTCCAGGTGGAAGCTTACAAATGTTAGAGACAGGATCAGGGGTGAGTGTGAAGTTTAAGGTGGATGATGGAGAGTATGTTCTGATAATCAAGAGAAGGAACGTTCCAAGTTCAAGCGATGAGCGTAACGTGGAAGAAGAGACAAATGAATTGGCTCGAAGCGCAGGCTTGCTGTTGGTTCAAGCTGAGATGCTTCGTGGCATGGGAGAGCAACTTCTCGCTCAGTACCGAGCATCACTTCAACGTACATTCGGAAATTTAGTACCCGCAACCGGAACGCCTCTCACTCACCACTGACTTTCCTGCATCTGCATGCGTTATATTTATGTGTGTTTTTTCTATTAAATTGAATTTTCATTCTGTTGGATAGCAACAAAGTCTCGCATCATTGGTGGAGATCGTACATTCAGGTCATTGTAGCGATAACATGGTTCTGCTATGTTACTTAGATTTGATTTAATAAAAGTAATTTTTAGTTAAATTGTTTCTGGTTTGTTATTTGGTGACTATTGCTCTCGAAACAATAGGGGAGATCTCAGCAGAGAAATTTTCAGTTCGTGAACAAAAGAATGGATGTTACATTGGATTAACCGGCTAAGATTGTGCTTATCAGAAATCATCTTAAATCTTCAATTCCTAGTTCGCTGATTCGAGAACAAGCGAGACTGTGTTGCTCCTGTTAATTAGTGTTATTGCTTTGAGGCCTTGTCAGCTGCCTTTCACTGCCAGCGCTTATTCCCGCCTTAGGCTCCAAGCGATATTAAATTAATTAAAGGCATGGAAAAGACGCTCCTTATGCGCCCGAGTTTGGGGATTCCTATGAGATGAGTGTGTTTTCCCTCTCTTATCCCTTTCCCATTGTTTTCATAATTTCAAGATAGTGGAGAGAATGATGTGATTGCAATAATAATAATGGTGGTTGTTTTCATTGTTACAATCTTCACCTCCACAGGGTCCGTATCAATATGATAACAACAAAGATGGGAGTTGTAGTTGTGACAACCATTGATGAAAGTGATGACATGTGACATTGGTAGGGATAGTAATAATGACAGCAACCACTTTTGTAGTCATACAATAAGTGTTTATATTAAAATTTTAATTATAATTGTTTGTTATATGAATAAACACTTAATTTGATTCTTAAAAGAAGGTAGAGGTAGTTGATAGGTTATGAAAAATTTTTTGTGACATCTAGATTTTTAAATTTTAATTTTATTATGCAAGTTTGTGTTTTCAATATATTCAATTGCTAACTGATTAGTTTCTTGAACAATCAATCTTTAATTGATAGGTTGATACTTATTCTCTCTCTCCTAATTAGTTGTTTTCTCTCCTAATTACATAATGTGGATCATGATGCAAGATTTTAGTATTTTTCAATTAGTAATAGACACTTTGTCATGTTTAAATATTTTGTCTATGGGTGTTTTAGTTTAATGGAAGGTTGATTGGTTTCATAGGGTTTCTCAGTAGTTGGATTTTTCTATTTTAACAATCCTTTATTTCTTCATCTATTTTGATCATATGTTTAAAATTATAAATTCTAAATTATTAAATTTGAGTTTAGCGCAAGATGAGTGGTCATTATGAAAAATATCAAGGATGCATCAATTGAATATGAGTGTTTATAATATGTTTAATAAATTGCAAAACTCCTCTAGTAGAAGTGGGGAATAACTTAGTGATAATGATCTTTTTGTCATTGTGGAAACATGACTCTATTCAGTTTCACTTTTCCTCTACTACTCCAATTTTGTTGGTTAATGTTTCTCTTCAACAATGTCTCAAACCCTTATCTTATAAAAATGAGTTTTGTTTTTTGCATAGATAAGTTTTATGGGTGAAATGGAATATGGGAATGAGAGTGTAGAAAGAAATAAGTTATTGAAACGTCACCTATATTTATAAATTAAATTAAAATTTAAACCTTATTTTGTCACGTGTTTAAATTTACTTAATTTGTAACTGTTGCACATCAACCAAGAGAAAGAATACATGCTAGTGTGACAATTAACCATTATGACTAATAAAGTTATAGTAATTGAGTATAATAGAAAAATTAACTTAAATATGATAATCATAGACTATAGATATTTATATTAGATTTAAGGCTTTACGATAGAGAAAAATGCTACATGCACTAGTATAAAAATGACTTTTAAAATTGAGGTTTTAATAAAATCGGTCATAAGGTAACCGATTTTAAAAGTGACGCGGTGACAATTTTGTAAATAATGGCATTACTTTTAAAATTGGCTACGTTATAACCGACTTTAAAAGTCTCTGACGCTACTTTTAAAATCGGCTCTTGAATAGCCTCAAGAGCCGATTTTAAAAGTCTAGTTTTAAAATCGGCTATTGAACAGCCGATTTTAAAAGTAGCATTAGAGACTTAATCTATACTATCTCCGCTCCCATTCTCCCCCTAGCTCCATTCTCTACTCTTTGGCTTCAATAGTTCATATATTATTCTCTTTACTCTCTCGGGCTCTCATCTGAAGTGTGCAACTTATTCTCATTTTCTTGGAAGAATACATCAAGGTAACATTCTCGTCTCATGTCTCTTATTTCGTTGTTATTGGGCAAATTTTGAGTCTAGAACGGCTCTAGAACGGCCCCAGAACGGCGCATTCTGCAAGTAGAACGGCTTGTACTGCTTGCAGTACGACCTGTTCTGCAAGCAGCACGGCCTGTACTGCTTGCAGAATGACCTGTACTGCTTGCAGAATGACCTGTACTGCTTGTAGAATGGCCTGTATTGCTTGTAGAATGGCATGTACTGCTTGCAGAATGGACTATTCTTCAAGTAGAACGGGACGCACTACAAGCAGTACAGGCCATTCTGCTTGTAGAACGGCCCGTTCTAGGGCCGTTCCAGACTTGCTGCACAAGTACTTACGTTGGGAAGCAAGGGTAATTGACCTTCAAAATGGCAGTGATCAGCGGCTTCTTGTTTGCCAGAAACCGTTTCTGAAAAAATGATTGGATTGGCTCTATTGTGTCTCACCCTGGTGAATGAACACATCGATTTGCTTTGGTAATTATTACGATCCATCTCTTATCCTTAGGCTCATTATTAGTATTGATATTTCTTTATTTATCTTTTAATATTAATAGATAAATATAGATAATATTTTATATAGGTAAGTTCTAGAATGGAGTTATTATGAATCTGTTTGTGTTTCTCTATGAATATATTGTATACCTCTATCAATGGTATCAATGAAGAATCACAAATTGTTATTTTTACTCCTTTTAGTTGTAGAATTAGGACTAGACGTAGTGATAAAGTAGTTATCTTTCACCTATCAATGTTGCTTTCATCAGCGACTCTCCTCTCACACACAAGCAATTATTGGATCCTGTAAAACGCCGGTTTTGGTCATGTAGGACCTGGGATCTGCATTGGTCTTGATGTGTACTATACTAGTGTTATGGTTTTGTCAACCTAAGCTTGATTATGTTGCTTCCAAAATTGTGGGGCGGGATGGAATCTAAGAATCCATGATAACTTTGCAAGCAGCACTCGTTTGGATTGTAATACTGATGCTTAAATTGAAAACCTGCCAAAACCATTTACTTTGACAAACATTCTAATTTCCTCATTTTATAATTTAGGATGCATCATAATTTGTAAGTTACTTTGATTACATATATGGTTGACATTTACCAACTCTTGTCATTTTTATGTAATTTGGTCTATTAAAAACATATGAATTGTCTAGTATTTTATTAATTTACAGGTTTTATTCAGGGATCCTTCTAAAATAAGTCAAATATTTTAAAAAAAATTAATCACTTTTAACATCGGTCATAACATGATCGATGTTAAAAGTGGAACTTTTAAAATCGGTCACTGTTGACCGATTTTAAAAGTCTCACTTTTAACATCGGTCGACGACCGATATTAAAAGTCCCACTTTTTAAAATCGACTCTTTTAAAATCAGTCAAAGAATCGATTTTAAAAGTAAAAAATGGCCGATTTTAAAATTTTTTTTCCACTAGTGATGAAACTATATGATGACTAATAACTCTTTTTAATAAATTAAAATATATAACTATATATAAAGATCATGATTAAGATATTTTTTTATTTATAAAAATTACAATAATTATAAAAACAATTCGATCGAACTTAAAATTTTATGTATATTATTTCACCTCTGTATCATTAGATTGATCTTCGTAACTCCTTGACTATGATGATATAGTTTTAGAATTTCTAATTGATGGCTACAATGCGGCCATTTACTAAGATTTTCTTTTTATGCTATTTTTTTTGTAAGTTCTAGTTTTTTTATAGAAAATTTAACAAATACATAAAAAATAATAGAAATTTTATATAATTATTATTATTATTATTTTCTTAAAATATTACAACATAACAACTTTCTAAAAATATTATTAAAGATAAAAATAAAAATAATAATTAGTATTGCATTGAAAATTAAAATAATACTTATTTATTTATTTATTTATTTTTACTTATAATGGGATGAATGGTGGGAGTATATATTATTATGACCGAAGTGTTTTACACAGCCCGCTTCAATCATGACAACTTGGCTTGAATCAATTAAAAATAGGTCGTTTAGGTCTAGTGTTAATGAACGATTTCTTTGAAATATAATATAATGCAGTGAGTACATAACAGATTAAGGGAAATTCGTAAAAAAGAAAAAATAGGACATAATTTTGGGGGGTCTTGTGCGATTAATGCAGCGGTGAAAACAGCCTCGATATATATATATATATATATTTAATTCTAAGGATTGTTGTAGTAATAATTGTAATAAAGTTTAGTCCAGTATTCAAGTGGAAGGAGTCGAAGTAAAACTAAGGCATCTAAATTCGATTTTTGCGTTTTGTAAATTTTTTTTATTGATAAGAAAGTTTGAAATAGTAAAATAACAATCGTCATTCTTAATAATCTCATCTTTGTTAGTACCACGTCTGTTACTTCTATATGGTGTAATATTTCTTAAGTTTGACGTTTGAAAGACCTCACTTTACAAACCTTTCACATGATTTTTCATTGTTTAAAACTCTTCACTCGGCAGAATCTTCTGTTGATAATCTTTTTTTAGATGTTTGTCTACTTTTAGAAATCTCACAAATCAATATAAGACGATTCAACGTATTATATCCCCATTTTTCATGTTTTTTAAAAATTTCCTAGAAACTCTTTTATTTTTAAATTACTCAAAGTCAAACATGTTTAATTATCGAAATCATTTTGTAATGTATTCATGATGTTACATTTGCTTACAAACTACCACAATCACCATATTTAATCAATAGCAACAAAAAGCACAAAAAAATATAAAAGCAAAAGAGAAAAATAATTTACATAAATGTGTGAGGACAAAGAGGACGGAGAAAATGGAAAGGGGACAAAACTAGAAACAAAGTTTAGAGTTGAAAAATGAAAATTACACTCTCTAAAATTTTAAAAGACTTTTTATGTCACATGTTTCACCCGTATGATCATCATCATTTTTCAATAATATCAACAAAATAGTAATCTAAGAGCATTTTGACCAAGTGTTGGAAGATGATATTTTTGTTTATTATTTTAACTAAGTGTTAAAATATTATCTTCCAATTAATTTCATTACTATGACAAAAATTTGAATATTTAGAGAATTAAGACCATAGATATCATCAATGGTGGAGATTGAAGAAAAAAACTATCAACGGTTAAGAG